GCTCATGCTTATGTTCAGGAGACATTTGCCTATGTTTTCTTCCAAGAGTTTTATGGCTTTATGTCTTATATTTAGGTCCTTAATCTATTTAGAGTTTACTTGTATATATGGAGTTAGACAGTAATCCAGTTTCATTCTCTTGCATGTAGCTGTCTAGTTTTCCCAATGCCATTTATTGAAGAGACTGTCTTTCCTCCATTGTGTATTTGTGGCTCCTTTATAGCATATTAATTGAACATATAGGAAAGGGTTTATTTCTGGGCTCTCTATTCTTTTCCACTTATTTATGGGTCTGTTCTTGTGCCAGTGTCATACTGTTTTGATTACTATAGCTTTGCAGTATAGCTTGAAATTAGGGAGCATAATACTCCTGGCTTTGTTCTTCTTTCTCAAGAAAGCTTTGGCTATTTGTTCTTTTGCGGTTCCATAACAATTTTAGAATTATTTGCTCCATTTCACTGAAAAAATGCCATTGGTATTTTGATAAGGATTGCATTGAATCTGTAAATTGCTTTGGGCAGGATGGCGATTTTGACAATAGTAATTCTTCCTATCCATGAGCATGGGTTAGATTTCTATTGATTTGTGTCTACTTCAATTTCTTTCATCAGTGTCTTATAGTTTTCAGAGTACAGGTCTTTCACCTCTTTTGTTAGTTTCATTCTTAGGCATTTTACTTTTTTTGATGCAATCATAAATGGAATTGCTTTCCTGATTTTTCTTTCTGCTAATTCATTATTAGTGTATAGGAATGTAACAGAATTCTGTATATCAGTTTTGTATCCTACAACTTTGCTGAATCCGGTTATTCTAAGTTTTTATGGTTTTCTATGTATAATATGTTATCTGAAAATAGTGACACTTTAACTTCTTCCTTATCAATTTGGATGCCTTTTGTATCTCTACCTTGTGTGATTGCCTTGGCTAGGACCTCCAGGACTGTGTTGAATAAAAGTAGTGAATGTGGACATCCTTGTCTTTTTCCTGATCTTAGAGGAAAAGCTTTCAGGTTTTTATCATTGAGTATGATGTCAGCTGTGGTTTTGTCATATGACCTTTATTATGTTGAGGCATGGACACTCTGTGCCCATTTTGTTGCGAACTTTTATCATGAATGGATATTGAATTTTGTCAAGTGCTTTTTTAATATCTATTGAGATAATCATATGGTTTTTATCTTTTTTTGTTAATGTAGTGTGTAATGTTGATTGATTTACAAATGTACCATTCTTGAATCCCTGGAATAAATTCCACTTGGTCATGATGGATTATCTTTTTGATGTATTTTTGGAGTCAGTTTGCTAATATTTTGTTGAGGATTTTTGCATCTATGTTCATCATGGATAATGGTCTGTAATTTTCTTGTATCTTTATCTGGTTTTGGTATTAGAGTGGTGCTGGTCTCATAGAGTGGGTTTGGAAGTATTCTCTCTTCTACTTTTCGGAATGCTTTAAGGATGGGTATTAGCTCTCCTTTAAATGTTTGGTAAAATTCAACTGTGAAGCCATCTGTTATGGACTTTTGTTTGTTGGGAGTTTTTTGATTACCAGATTGGTTTTGTTACTGGTAATTTCATTACTGGTCTGTTTAGATTTTCTGTTTCTTCCTGTTTTGGTCTTGGATGATTGTACTTTTCTGGAAATTTGTCCATTTCTTCTAGGTTTTCCAATTTATTGGCATACAATTTTTCATAAAATTCTCTAATAATTCTTGGTGTATTGTGGTGTCAATTGTAACTTATGCTTTTCTTTTTTGATTTTGTTTATTTATATATTCTCTCTTTCTCTCTTTTTTTTGATAAGTCTGCTAGGTGTTTGTTTTGTTTATCTTCTTAAAGAACAAGCTCTTGGTTTCATTAACTTTTTCCCTATTGTTTTATTATTCTCTATTTCATTTGTTTCTGCTCTGATTTTTATTATGTCATGAGGGAATTTCTAAGGGAGAACAGAAAGGCTCAGAGATGAGCTGAGCCAGACTTGGACTGAAGGAGTTCAGCTCTTGACTATTAAATAGAAACAAAAGCTGCCACTACCTACAAAGGTTTCTCTCCTATGACATGCTGAGTGAACATCCCTCACCCTAACCTCATCGGTAACAAGGCAGACCCCTCTCCCCACCATGTTTCATCCAGCTTTGCTCTACTGGGCTCTTCTACAACATTACCCTCCTTAGTTCCCATTTATTGTAATCAACCCTAGGTTCCATAGGGCAGGGTCTGTCCTCCATCCTTTTAGAAGAGGACTGTCCAGGCTTCTATATCTGATCATCCTGGTTCCTGACATTTGCCTCCTCCCTTCCCTATGTACTCACTGAGCTAGGGGAACCCAATGGGCACGTGACTTCTTCAACAGTAGAGACACATATTCTCATGTGGTCCTGATTACCAGAAAAGACTTTAAAAAGATTCTGTGTTCTGGTTGAAATAATAGCATGTTCCTCCTGATTTACTTTCTTCCAAGATTTGTTAAATTACTGGTTGGATCTGCTCTGCCTCTCTGGCACACATCTGCATCCTGGTTATCACATTCCCTGTCCCTAACCATCTTTACAGTTCTTCATCAAATTTGTGATGGGCCTTCATGTCAATGACCTACTGTCCTATTTTCACTTGTCTGTCTTTTGGGAGATCAAATAAATACCACATGTGTTATCTTGATTGTTTGCTTTCCTATCACTGATTAAAGGCATGTGCTTTCTCTTCCCCAGGCCTGTAGAATTCCCCCACGAGATTACATCTTTCCAGTTGGGATCATTGTTTTGGAATAACTTAACCTTGATGGTGTTCATGGTTCTATAACTGCCTATAACATATTTCTACCTTATGGCAGTCTCTTGCTTTCAAAACAACAACAACAAAAAAGTTCTTCTACATATTGATTCACTCTTGATAGAGTTTTATAAGCAGCAACAGAAAACAAAATCCCCATCTCTCTCCAGGGTTTGTAAATTTTCATCTCATTCTTTATTATAGTGTCATTATTGTACATGTTTCATATGTTAAAGGCATCAAGCCCTCTCGGCCTGTATTCTCCACTGTCTTTTTGGAGTCCCCTCAGACATGCTTAGGTTTCATGCTTTTACCTTTTCCTTGATCCTGTTTTTGCAAATTCCTGTGCCCTCTGTTCCCAGAGGTGGTGGCTTCTCAGTGCCCCTCCTGTATTCTGTGCTTCAAGCCTAGGAAGGGAGAATGATGTGGCTCTTTGAAGTCTTGTTTTGTTCTTTCTCTTTAGGACACTCCTTTCTCCAGTTGTAAAAACAAAACAGAACAGAATGAAACAAAGCCCACCATATGGTCCACCTCCCCAGTTACATTTACTGGACACTGTTTATACTCATTCTTAATTCTTTTTATATCATTATTGCTAGTAATAATATTAGAATTGTCTACCCTTGATATTTTACTTTACATTTAGAAAGCAAATTCAAACAACTTAGCTCTTTTCATCTTCATGACCAGGCAATGTGGTGGAATGAGCTATGTGGCAAAATCAGTGTTTTATGGAGATTGCATTCATTTGGTCAAGTCAAACAGAGCATTGCTGTGCTGTTAAATCTAGATCTTCCTGATTTGGGACAGTGGGTAATTCATACTGTTGAGTCATCCACCAAATCTTCTTTAGTTGGTTGGTCAGTCACCATGTCCTGTTGATTTGCTGGATTCTGGCTTTGTCCTTTCACACCTGCCACCTGGTCCAGGCAGTAAATGACGGGGGACTGAATTATGGAAGTGCTTTCTTTACTTGTCTCCCCACTATAGTCTCTTTCCAGTTTAGCTTCCCCATTGATTCTGATTGACTCAACAATAAATATTGGATCAAGTCAAAACTTCATGCAGTAAAAACATAAAATGAGTCCCTTCATGTTCCGGGTAAAGTTCAAATTCACCAGCCTGACACACCTGGCCCATGTCTCCCCAGCTCATGTGTTACTTGTTCTGTACAGAATGAAAGCACCATGTTTTCCATTCCCTATGTCTGGAATGTTTTTACTTTCTTTTCTCAGTAAAATCCTCTGAGTGTCAGGTGACAGCTCCACCTAGAAAACTCACTAAATTCTCTTCTTCCTTTGAAACTTAATCTTAGGTGTCACCTCTTCTGGGAAGCTTTCCTACATCTCCCCTTTCCCCCTCTTTCTGGAGTTAGTAATATGCTGTTCTTCTGTGAACTCCATAGTAGTCATGGCCCTGTGTTTTAGTTTTCTTCCATGTGCCTAGATTGTGACCTCTGGCACAGTGCCTACCAAAGAGTATCTACTAGTAAATGCTCACTGAATGAATGAAGGGCTTTCTATCTCAAAAGACTATGCGCTACTATGACCATGCCCCAGATTTTCTATAAATGCATTACAGCCACAAAAAAATACTCAACTCTGGGTCATCTCTCTGCATGGGGTTTCTTCCCACATGTTCCAGACATCCTTTCCTTATTAGTTATATTTTTACTTGCCCATCAATAACCCAGATGTTTATAGAGTCTCACTGTGTATGTAATGCAGTTTGAGAACTTTATGTAAAACTTGTTCCAATTTGTATACAGAGTTTCACATGTGGCCCTCGCATTTGGAGAAGAAGCATTCCTAACCTTTTTTCAAAGTTCTGGGGAAGTTTTCTAAGACACTGTTTTGTGAGCAGCAGCTAATAGTTTCCTTTTATTTTTTCTCCTAAAACATGTTAAAGGCAGTTTAGGGTTTGCACTGATATCAATAACAGTTCTAAATGAAACCATATTCATTAAAAGAAAACATGTTTGAAATGTTAGTTGAACATACATTTATCTGCATAGACATCTGCTATTGAACAAGTGTCCAGATAGAAGAAGTCAGATTACTTACCAGTTTTGTTGTGTTTTTTTGGTCATTATCTGAGAAGGTTTATTTATTTTGTTTCTGTTTTTTTAGTAGTCAATTTACATTTAATTTATTACCCAGACAAAATGTATTCAGATTCACTACTCCTCTTGTGCTCGAACCTTGTTAATATGTTTCTTGTGACTCTTTCCAGGAGGAATGTCAGAACTACATCCGTGTGCTGTTGGTGGGTGGCGACCGGCTATTCACCTGTGGAACCAATGCTTTCACACCCATGTGCACCAACCGCACGGTACGGCATTCTATTGAGCCTTGACAGAATATAATACCGGGAAAATCCAAACACTCCATTAAAACCCTTGATTTACATGTGTTCCTATTTTCTAAGGAGTTGCCTTTTCATTGAAGAAAACATCTTTTGTCAAATGGAAGAAGTATTTGCTGTATTGATTTATTACTAATCACACTGTCATGATATAAAGAGCTGGAAATAATTACGGCATGTTTAATTAAATTTAAGTATGTTTCTGAATTATTTCTACCAGATTTTTCCCCACCAGTGATCCTAAACACCAATCCTCCACATATTCCTTTTTCTTATTCTTCTTTATTGTAGGGAGACTGTTACACATTAAAATAGCCTAAAATCCCCCATTCAAATGAAGAGAATATAATTTACAAATAGGATAAAAAGCATGTGAAAAAATTAAACAAATGGAACTCTAGGCAAAGTCAAGGTATAACCCAGCCTCCTTCTCCTTTTAACCTGCCATTGTTGATAGAGGGATTTTTCGCATCCCGGTCTCACACCCATAGAACAGCAGGATATCAGAGCACACATGTAATCTTTCTAATTTGAGATACTAATTTTTGATCTTCCTCAGGGAACATAGCAAAGAAATACCATTATGTTAATTTCCTGGTTATGCAGAGTCTGTCAGAACCTTGAATTTGTCATCTGCTTTAATGCTCACTGTTTTCAAATTGATGGTTATTGAAAATAAGAAAAGTTCAGAGAGGTCCCTAGAAACCACACCCTGTTCTAAGCACCTTACATCCACTCAGCAGTTTGATCCTCACACCACCGTGCGGTCATCATCCTCTGGATCCCCATTTCATGGAAGAAGAGTCTGGGGCCTGAGGGGTTCAGGAAATTCCTCTGGGGCCACACATCTAACAGTAAAACATGCAGTGTAGCTGAGCTTAATGGCTCACCCATCTGCTCTGTTACCTCTCAGGTAAGAGTGAAGCAAAGCCCCTACCACCCAAAGAGCTTTTCTGATTCAGTGACTGCTTGGGAATCCAGTTTGAGAAGCTGTCTTCACACCAGATGCCTTCAGGACAGCAAAATGTCCTCTGAAAAACAAAGTTTTGGAAATTTGGGTTACATGATGCTAACTAGCCGCACATGCTTCCTTATCTGTGAACACAGTTTCAGGCTATTCATAATATTTTGATTAACTTATATTGACAAAATTACATATAACCTTTACTGTGGTTTATATTTCTGTAACTATCAAAGCTGTTTTTCTTTATAAAGCTGGAAAAATCTATATTGGCCATGCATTATAAATAGAAGCCATATACAGCAATCTTAGTATATTGTGAGTATTCAGTGGCACTAGTTTCAGGAAATATAAAGGGATGATGAGAGAGATTGATTGAATGGTGGGTTCTCTAACCATGACCACAGGGTGAGGTAAGTCTGTTGTGTAGAAGTCTATCATGTCTTATCATGAGCCCCAGGGAGCTTATTGCATGTGCTTCATTTACAACTCAGGTGGACATAGTCCAGTAACACTGTTAAAGGATCTTCATAAGGGTTAATTGGTTTCCTCTTTCTTGTCCTCACCTTAGCTGAGTAACCTGACCGAGATCCATGATCAGATCAGCGGCATGGCACGCTGTCCCTACAGTCCCCAGCACAATTCCACAGCTCTCCTTACGGCCAGTGGGGAGCTCTATGCTGCCACAGCCATGGATTTCCCAGGTCGCGATCCTGCCATTTACCGGAGTCTGGGCCTCTTACCTCCTCTTCGCACAGCACAGTACAACTCCAAATGGCTCAATGGTAAGCCTTTCAGCCACCGCCAGTTCCCGTCTCACTGGTCTGTGATGCCTGGTTACTTCTCTACTCCAAAGCAAACCGTCATACTTGTGAAAGAAAATTTTCTTCACTTTCTAGAGAAATCAAGATGTAACTTGTTTTGTACATCTAAGAGGAAGGGCATCAGATGTGGTACTAAAGATACCAAATGTAGATTTGGGCATTCTTTATTAGCTTACTTATTTCTAAAAAGGAAAATTTCTAGTATTTCTTGAAATTTTCAGACACTGTAGAAAAGAATTTGGCCACAGGCTGCTGCAAATAACTTGACCAATTAAAAAAAAAATCAAGTCATATAACTAGAAGATTGGGGGAGGCATCTTCAGAGTTTCTGACTTCAGTGGCCTATGAATGCAAAGGACCCAAGTCCTGCCGCTGCTCTTTACTATTCACATTCTGTCAGTTTGGTCCTCAGGTGCTTATGGCTGTAGAGTTGCAGCTGCAATTTCAGGTCCTACATCCACATGTGACAATATCCAGTGGAAGTAGCACCACGTTCCTTGAGTCCTTTTCTTCTTAAGAAACCAGAAACTCCCTGAAGGAGACTTCCCTTCAATCCTGGACTAGAAATTGGTCAGCTGGTCACTAAGCAATCAGAAGGTGCCAACCACCCAAAGAGAGGTGTTCAAAGATAAGCCAGCTGAAATGCAGCCGTCTGTATATGTTCATGTGTGAACATGGCCACACATACACACACACGTCAGCAGTCACAAACCATATGTGCAATCCATTTCCTCGAGCATTTATTTTATTTAGTGGGTTTATTTGCACAAAGGTGAAATCTTGAAACTGCAATTATAATATTTACTATTTTAAACTTTTAACTTCTAGAAAGATTTCCTGGCCTTTTGCCAAGTTCATGTGAATTATGTAGAGAAGAATTTCTCAACCTCAGCACAAGTTTTTGACATTCCTGTTATCATAGGATGTGTCCTGATTACCATAGGATGGTTAGCAGTATCCCTGGCCTGTATCCACTAGATGCAATAATACCATGTCCCCAACATCATATGTGACAATAAAACAATGTTTCCAGAAGTTGCTAAATAGCCCCTTGGAGGGGAATAAATTTCCTCTGGTTTAGAACCACTGGCTTGGACCCTTTCCTTATGCCTATTTATGTGTATGTGTATATATAAGCACAAGTATTTTGCTGAACAACATGGTCAAACCCATCATCACAGTTGGCCTTTAAAAGACTCCCTTGCAGAAGAGAGAACATCTTCATCAGGTTTCTCCAGTAAGCTGAGGGTTCTGCATGCCTCCAAAGGGCAAAAGAATTGTCCTCCCAAACTCAAGCAGTAACGCACTTCCCTCCATTAACATTGTTTCTGCTGAGCTGGCTTCAGTCGAACCCAGCAACTTGCTCTGGAAGGTCCCCCCTTGGTCCTGAGTCTTTTTCTTCTGTGGAGCTGAAAGGTCTTCTTTCTATCCATGTGTTAGTTTCTACTGGCCAAACAACGTTTCTGATTACAATCAAAATAACCCACCCTCAATGAAAGGCATCATAATTAGGGTTTGTCAAAAGCAAAGTATAAAGGAATTAGGAGCACAATCTCTTTTTTTCCCCAAAGTGGGTAAAAAATACCTTGGAAAAAATATAATTCATGTTGTCTCCTGAGTTATAAACTCTGGCTCTTTCTTTACATGTGATTCATACCCTCTGGCTGATAAGGTGGTCAGATTCCATTAACCCTCTGTGTAGAATCCTTTCCGTTTGTGCATCAGGCAATGCAGTAGGGACGGGGAAAGATCTAAGTCAGGGCTTGCTGCAGTCATGGTAGGCATGAGGTCATTATTTGTTGAACACCAAGAGTGATGTTTTAGATGCCTAAAATGTGCTGCTGTTTATATATGACATTATCCAACAACTACAGAAATTGATGGTAAGTTCAACATAAACATGATAAACATGGTAGAGCAACCCCCAGGCCTCAGTGTCACTGTGATCCCGTGACACTAAGTGGCCCTGCTTTCTGTAGACAGCAGCCCTGCCCACCCCTTCCTGCCCACAGGCCAGCCAGCCCTCCTCAGGTGGAGGGCCCAGGACCTGCCTCAGGATTCCAAGCTCTTGGCAGACTGGGTGTCACTCTGGCCCCTGTGTACTGTTGGGGCACTTCCTTCTTTTATATCCTGAGATACTATTTCTACCTGCTTGGGCCTGGTTTTCTGCTCTCTTTGATCCTTCATCCAGGACAGATTCTGGCCTCTGACCCCCGTGTAGCTCTGCTCTGCCTCCTGCTGAGCCTGCCACAGGGACGTTCACTCTCTGACCTAACTGGAATCTCTGCTCTGCGTCCCACCTGCTCTTTGACCGGATGCCCTTGTCAGTTCTGCTGTGTTCTGGAGTAATTTTGCCTTTTACTTGAGGGGGTTGCTACATCGGCTATCCCTTCGTTATTGCCATGGCCTGCAACATCTTCTTATCAGAATGCTTAGACCTCCTTCCTCTTAAATGCTACACACACACAAAATAAACCCAAACAAGCAGAAAAAAATAACCTTAGTTCTGTGGTACCCAGGAAGGGTCCTATTCCTTGTTGTGATTTTAGGGTGCTATTAAATGATGCTCTTATATTGTTCTGAGTTTTCAACTGGATTAAGAATTGAGACACATGAATCAACACATAGATCTGAGAGTTGGGATTTCTCTGGACAGAGCTTAATGAGTGTGGGGGGCCTGCAACTGCTTGGTAAGTTAGGAACGGGCTTGGTAAGATTATGACCTGCTGAGTGAGGGGCACAAGGCTCCCTCTGCATCCCAGCTCCCCCTTGGGGGAAGGGACAACCCAGGACCTTTTGATTAAAGGCACAGTTTTGGTACTTGATTTCTCTGCAGTACAAATCTCATCATATCCTTCTTCGAGTCTTCAGAAAGCCCCTAGTTGCATATAGAGGCATGAAGCCACCCACACGTGGTAAATGTAAATGAGAGAAAGGGTGGGGGACACTTAGGGTGATGGGGACTGCGGCCAACACCCAGGCATTCCCTCAAGGGTGGGGAGCCGCCTTGGCCTCTGCAGGGCTGGACTAAAGTGGTCAGGTCACCAGGTTTGTCTAAAGAAGTCAGAAATCTGGATTTTCTTGTGAAGTCTCTGCTTTTATCATGCTGACAATGAAGTATTCTGGAAGTCTGCGGGAACCAGCACTGTGGGGACAGAGTGTCCTGTGACAGGGGCTGGATTCAACCTCAGTCGTCAGCTCTCAGGGCAGCCGGGGCTCCTGCTATGTCCTTGCCTGTTGCCTCACATCCGACCCCACCTTTATCTCCCTGCCTCTCTCCCTCTGCCCCTTCCCACACCCTCCAGCGTCCTGCTTTCTTTGCATCCTTCACAAGTCCTGTATTCTGCCAAGGCTTGTTTGACTCCTGCCCACCCTCCCTTCTCGGGGATCCAGGGCACCATGTCCACCTGTCCTTTCCCTCTCTTCCTGTCACTCCCTCCTTTGTATTTCTTCTCCCTCTGTACTGTGCCCCCCGGGGCCAGGACTGTGCTCTGTGTGTGGGTTTTAATGCTCAGCATGGGGCCCTGGGGTAGAGGGTGGCCGCTCTGGTGGGAGCCCACCTGAGGGTGCAACCACGCTCAGCCCTTCCACCACTAGCTTGTCTCCCAGCTCTCGGCATCCTCGTCTGCAAACTGGAGTGAACTAGACGCCTACCCAGCTGCTGTGGAATAAAATGAGACAGTGTAGAGTGCCTGGCATGAGCATGAATGGAGGTCCTTACTGTCAACTCCCCGAAGCCTGACATGCTGACTGACGCGGGCAGTGGGCAGTGACTGAATGTCCTTGATGGAGCGAATGATGGGTGAACGTTTCGGGTATGGATCCTGAGTGACTGACACCTGCCAGCCTCCTCTGGGCTGCCCCCTGGGCCCCCAGCCCTCCCTTCCTGCAGAGGCTGTGCCCAGGCCTCCCAGTGCCTTCAGGACCTGCCCGTCACTGCTCCGTCCGGGGGCCTCCCTGCGTCAGCAGGACTCAGCCCCTGGGAGGCTATCCTCAGCTAACAGCTGCTCACATATTAATGATAAACAGAACTCACATCTTTGTGTTGGACATTTTCCAGTTTTTCCCAACATTTTTGTGTTAAGAAAAGAGAACTGTCTCAGCAGGAGAGGCCTGGAGGGTAACACCTATTAAACATGTCAGCAAAATTTTCACGCTTAGATTTGTTCCTTGTGATTAAATTGTAGGTAGGACAATTTGTCTACACATGGAGGTAGCACCATCCCATACTTCTCTTGGTTAAGTTGTGCGGGCAAACCTGAAGATGCCCGGATGGCAGTGCTAGCACATCTCGGCTGCGCATGTCAGCATCCGCCTACCCACTCTGCAGGCCCCGCCAGCCACCTCCGCTTTATCTTTCCATGCCATCAGTGACATTTTGGATAGTGCCTGTGTTTGTGCCCTAGTGTTTCTGGAACAAAGTAGCATAACTTGGGTGGCTTAAGAAAACAGAAATACTTTCTCTCAGAGTCCTGAAGGGGAGAAGTCCCAAATCAAGAGGCTGGCAGAGCCGTGCCCTCCCTGAAAGCTCCTGGCAGTGGGGGGGGGGGCCTTCCCTGCCCCCTGCAGCTCTCATGGCCCAGACACTCCTTGGCCCATGGCCGCGTCATCCCAGTCTTCGCCTCAGTGTTTACATGGCCTCCTCCCTGTGTGTCTCTCTGTCCTGGTACGGCCACCTTCATGTAAGAACGTCAGTCATATTGGATGAGGGGCCCACCCTGCTCCGGTATGGCCTCATTTTAACTGATTTTTATCTGTCATGACCCTGTTTCCAAACATGGTCACATTTACAGGTATTGGGGTTAGGATGTCAACATACCTTTCTGGAGGGGATACAGTTCACCGCTATCACTGCCAAGTGCAGGCTTGGTGGCAGTGAGCCCTCTGACACTCTCGTCTAGAGAGGCACCCAGGCACAAAGGATGCTGTTCAGGCTTCAGGGCAAGTGGACAGCATAGCAG